GATTTGAAAACCGTTAATAGTCAAGAGAGACAAAGTCTTTATTAATAACAATGTAACTTATATCGAAAACGATGTCTAGTTTATTTTACTCAGTGCATGAGGAATTCTTGATAAAACACGTCCCGAGCGAGGTTATGGTGAGTAAGCTCGACGCTCAACGCATCCACTAACGTCCGAGGTGTGGTATACTTCATGTAGCTGCTGTTGGAAAATATCTGTTGAATCTCAATTACGTAACGCCTTCACGAGCGACCTTCACCTTGGAGGCCCACTTGCTTACCAATACTCTAAGTGTTCCAACTAAAACATTTGTAATGCCCACAACGTTACGCATGTGCGTCACTAGCTAGGAACACTCTGTATGTGGGCTGGACACAATTCATTTAAGCAAAAGTTAAACGACCGTCGAGTCTGTAGTTAGCAAATAAATCTTTATTAAAAACACCAATAAACATCAGTGTAGCCCGCTCACTCGTTTATTTTGAAGTGTGTTGGTACACAATACAAGTATTAAATCCCATATTTTTTACGATAGTTCTAATAAAATTTAGATGCTCTCTTTCGAAAATTGTATTGGTCATAAACATGGTTCGTAAAAGTATTAAAATGACCTATCAATTCATTCGTTGTGATGTAGACTCATCATTTACTCATAGTATTTGATGCACATGGTACATGTGCTCTAAATACTCGTCCTCGAGCTCTCTAAACAGTCCCTTAAAGAGTAACGTTGTTCAGTGGGTACATGTTGATGCATGCACGACCTTTGCCGGCGTCTAACCTAAAAGCTTCATAAACCTTTTTATGGGTATGACTCCGTCGACAACCGCCAGTGCCATATGGCGCTGTACACTCGAGTAGACATTTACTGAGTCGGTAATATCATGGTTCACATGTTGAACTAAATATCAAAGATCAATACGTGGTGTCAGGTCTGTCCCCCTTGTGTTACAGCGCTTTTAATATAAATAGCATACGGCTAAACTTTTAATTCTTATACTGGGTATAATTTGATCGCGTTGTTTTATTATGTGACATGACATTGGTCAGGCTGCTTGCCAACAGGAATGATGATAAGCTAAACCACTTATCACTGATAATGATAACACTTTCTATAAGCAATCATCTGATACAATATACATCAGACTTCAATATGACATCAAGAAACCGCAGAAATAGTAACAATACACTACTATTAAACTTTCAGTGATAACTTTTGAGTATTCGGACGTTGATGTTGGTTTTTAGGGGAACTGACTCATTTCCGTCAGAATTTTAATAGGCATCATCTGCACAAACATCCTCTATGGGCCTAAATAGCAGCGAAATAATTCTTTATAGCTAATCAAGTTAAACGTTTGTGCGTGACATTACGAAGCTTAACCTTATTGGTATCCTTTCGTATCACACGCTCGACCGCGGGCCGCGAGCTCGTGGTAACACAATATGGCGAGGCGCCACGCTCGACTTACGCCCTGATTACTCTTTTGTGACATGTTACAATAATTTCTTATTAATAATCCTCATAATGAGCGCACTTACGTGCCAGTATGCTAATCGAAACAGTTCTTTGTAGAATAAAAGGTGTGAGTCACACACCGATAAGACAGTCACTTTGTACACCTCAATTGGTTGCATTCATATCATAATATAGAACTGCGGGTTGTAAAACATAGCAAATTAAATCAATAGTGGGCATGAATTTGTTATTTTGTTTTGTATAGCAAGAATCGAAGGAGCTGTAAATGTATTTTTAGCTTGTCTCCAGTCCAGACGTGGCGGTCGGCAGCCGGTGGTCGCCAGTGGCGCGCTGTCGACCGGCGACCATCACCCACATACCGCATGCCTAGTCACTACACCTGTGCACACACCTCACTACTTGCTCATTGCAGTTTTACTGTTACTCACTGAAAAAACTGCCTTCATCTCAATGCGAAAGGATTTAATTTCGATGACTAACAGTTAAAATCGCGGCTGTTAGACCATGCAGAATAGCAGACTCTAGCAAATGATTTTTATTAAATGCTAATGGTAACAGAACAATCATAAATAGATAGATAATTGTTGAAAAAAGAAACAAATACATCCTGTACGTATTTAAATAACTCGAGCAACTATCTAGTCACCTACGCGAAACTTTCGAAAGCCATTTTTCACCGTTTGACACATGCTCCCAATAAGATATAGGAGTACACTACAATTTAAATTTCAAATTAATTTTTAACTCTACATTTCTCTACCAAGGAAAGTAAAACAGAAAAAAACGTTTTAATTTCAGCTAAACCAACGAAAACAATTGATGTCTAAAACAGTTGTGTCTATTAGTCTAATGCCAACCAAAATCTCCTAAATATTAAAGAACCCCTAAACTAAGAGATGACCTTTAATGACATCGACACCTAACAGTACAAGTAAGGGGTTAGTTTAGGTGCTGGGGACTGTTAGTGCCAGACAGTCAACAAGGAAGGAAATAAATACTTGCCCTCCTTCATGTAATATGGAAATACACAATTACATACTATAGTTGCTATGGTATTTCATTTAATTGCATTACATTACAATGAACAAAGTAATAACATCTACCAGACTTTTTTCTTTTAGATTGTTGCAATAACTATTATAATGAAAAATTCATTCGGCATAGTACCTACCTATATTTTATTAAATAAAATTTGTTAAGCAGTTTGGTAAATGTCGTTATTTGTTAAATTAAATACTTGGATAATGTCTTGATCAAATTTTGGACCTCTTTAGGCACACACAACTGTTCACAGAAGCAAGTTCCTGCTTATGCTGTTCCACTCAGATTATATGGTTACAAACTGAAGGTTTAAGAATGGGGATTTATAATAATTCGTGACTATGTTCGAATATAAGAAATATGGCTCTTGAGTTGAATCTGTGACGCGACGACGACGGCCAGTTGCGATTTGAGGCCGTACGAGTCAACGCCACTGCCAAGGTCGGCTCGTCCGCCACTTGAAACAATCGTTACTTGAATTCGGTGCAAACAACTGAGCTCTAACTTCATTTATTAATCGTAAATCGATTGTACAATGTCTGTGGATTGTAACAGACTAGAAAAAATACATCTGAAAATAACACACAACTTTGTTAGAATCATTGTCAGTTATTAATCACGTTCGTATCCGTAAAAGTTAAAATACCATATTTAGTCAATAAAACCTATAGATAATTATAATATTTAATTTGCATAAAATTTTTTTTGAATAGCAACCGTCCTACTTATACAAAACAGCGGAAGATTTAACAACACACTAGCTACTTGCACAGACCGGTCTCCAATTCACCATCGATTGACCCGTAGAAACGGTCACCTTGTGTGCTTACCGAAGTATCGTTCTGAGAACTTGTCGATTTAACTGGTGAAATAGTAATGAGATGACGAAGCAAAATCGATAAAGTGGGAATACAATATGAGATTCATTTGTGATTTGTTACATTGTAGAGGAAAGCCGTGCAATGTAAATTTGCGAGCGACTGTGCTCGGGTGAACGATCGCAATAGAACCGGTCTGACAGGCAACCGAGGTAAAAAGGATCCTCCCGGGAATGCGCGCCGCGCCGCGCTCCGGTCCCGGCACCCGGCCACTCCCGCACTCCTCAATCAGCACCCAGATATTTCCGGTTTATACTGAAACTAATTAGTTTCAAAACTACTGCACAATGGCGTTATCGATCACTGTGACGAGGAAACACAACAGGATATTTTATGTTGTATTATTTTAAATTATTTATAAATATAACAGTGATTCAATAACAAATCTATTTTCCTGTTAATTTGTGATAACTATTTAATGAACACAGAAAGATTTCATATGAATTTTATTGTTTTGCTAAGCGTGTTTCCTCTTACTTGCAATAAATTACCTACAAATGCTTGGAAATATTGTAACAACTGATAATATTTCGATTACGATTATTACGAACCTTCAGATAGAAGTGAAACGTCATATAATTCCAATAAGCTGATATAAATGTAGACTCGTGTTATCGGTCACTTATCAGTGACACCACTATAGAAGTGTTTCAACTTCTCAGTAACTCCTACGGTATAGACACCCTGAATACGTATTGAGTCGGTACTACCAGTACTGATATTACATCAGTTTTACTGTAAGCTTGCTTATAATAATGGCGGACCCTTGCAATTTTTTTTAACTTGCATCCAGGCCTTTTTCGAAGTACCTAACTAAGTAATTATCACACTTTCTGTTTCATACCCGTGCTTCATCGTTTTCTCAATTAATAAATTTGTTTTAATTATATTCAATAGGTGTTATAGGTATTTATTGAATAGGAAGGAGTTACGTATTTTGAAAATACTCATTTACGTCATTGAGGCTATAGAATAAAAAACATGGCTTTATTTAGAGCTCTAAATGTCATTCAACTCGAATAGTCGATACATGTTTCAAGAATTATTTAGGTAACTACTAATTGTGTTATCTCGTATAATAAAACTGTATACAGTTTAGTAAAGTGCTAGTAAGGTACACACAATGCTTGATTCGATAAATCATCGATCGATAGCATCGGTAGGAGACTGGTCGCAGAATTATATTAAGACTTGGAACCTAATCTTAGAATCGCCAATTAAGAATAATAGCACACCTGTCCTACCGACCGCCTCAATTTGATGTGCATACTGAACTGTTAGTAAGTAGTTCATGTAGCAAGCCGCGTGATTCTGTCTAGGTATCTCAACAAGCTTGTGTGATTAAGAAAATTCTCCAAGATTTATCGTGTCAGTTAAAATAAATCTTCCCATTTTAGTATGTATGTTGGATATATAGTTGCAGTGAATTATCGACTGATTCAGCGAGGTCTAAACTGGAATTCCTAGAATATTGAAATCTTTAGTCATCTCAAATATTTTACTTTTAAAACGCCAATAGTTCTTTCCCGTGGTGGTAATGACTCAGTAAGATTTTATTACCCACCAACTTATTTTTAAATTGTTTATTTGATTTGTTCTAGGGAACAACGGGAAGGAGAAAGAAAATTCTCGAAACAAGGAAGCCACGTCACCGGCAGCCCGCTCCGCAAACGGTTAGTATCAAAGCTTATATTTCTCACAATCACAATCCCTACCTAACAGACATTTCTGTTTGACTGAAATAAATCCAATTGAGTAAGACTCAGTGCCTCGCGGTCCATAGTTACCATGGTGATAATCGCGTATTAAAGCTTGAATGAGTGCTTAATAATCGAGCTTTGAATCGAGAGGGGAGGCAGAGGGAGCGCCCCTCATATGCGGCTAGGGGCCCGGGAGGAGCGCGACGGCCGGGCTGGGGTGCGTGCGGCGCGCGCAGCCGCCGGCTCCCCTCCGACCGCGCCCGGCCGCCCGCGCTCCCTTGCGCCGCGCACCCCTCTCTGCAGGGGCGATTCGCGCGACACCCCCATACTACTACATTTTTGCGGAAATTGGAAGCCTCCTTTAGATATTTGACTAAAAACATGTTCGCAAAACTTGAATAGGTTCAAACTTTATTTACGTACCTACCTACCATTTCCTAAGTATATTTATGTATATCAGACTATCAGTATTCAGAAAACATAATGACGATTTTATTATCACTATACCTAATATAATGTAAATGCGAATGAGTCATAATTGTGATAATAAAACTAATAGTAAGATTATTATGTTCAAATAACGGCCAATAATAATCGTCGCCTTGGTAAGTCCGAGACATAACAATGAACTTGATATAAGTAGAGTTTACATTACATAGTGCTATCTGCTAACATAACACGGTCTCGGTGTCGTTTACATAGGCACTCTATATAAATATATTTCCATAATGATATTCTTGGCTGTATAAAAGCGTCCCAGCAACACCCTGCTGATATGATAATAAACTGAAACACAATGTCACCATGTCGCCAGACGTGACATATCAATGGGACACACTGCCAGATAAAAGGACATCCGTCTCCCTTGCCTACATACTCGAATTACATTTTCGAAACATGATAATACTATAGTAGCCAAACCCAGCCAGTGCCTATTTGAACCCTACCTACACAAACATTTTACCGACTCATTAAACTGTCAAACACCAAGCGGTCACCGGTGACCGCAACCTATTGTTCTATAATTGTGTCTGCAAAACCGGTACTCGACGAGTTAAAGTTCTTGTAAGTAAAAGTGCCTTTATAATTTAGTTACTAACGCACTGCAAAGTCCGGTAACTTAGAAATCTCTTATAAGGCACTTAGAATCTTTTTACAGTTAGTAAGGGTTAAATAAATTATCTTCTAGAGTAATTATAAGTACCTTCCCACAACTCAGACTAGGTTTATTGTGAGCTATATAAACTTTATATGATTGTTATCACGGGTATTTGTGACAATGGATGTGTCCAGTCCGGGCCGACAAGGAACTGTGCGCAACATAAGGCAGCGTTCTCGATGGTGTCCTATATGAAATTCTCGCGTAGGTACCTACTTACATTAAAGACACATATGTAACTTGCATCAAGCACGGGGTAAAAGCAATACGTTAAACAATACAGAAGCTAGGTACTAAATACTATCGAATACAGTCACTTACTTAAAATCCGATTGCAACTCAATAGATATTGCAGGAATGTTGGCAGGTCCACTTAACTTTTTTCTATCTTTTTGTCATAGAAAACAAGTTCACGTTTGGTTTACGTGACTACTTTGCATCAGTTTTTATCGATAGGACGATGAGTATGTGACGTCATCGGCCATGACAACCACCTTTACACTGGGAATAAGCGATTAGTAAATTGGTTAGAATACTCCCGTCCATTACTGTAGACCGGGTGAGTCAAGTGTCGTGGTATTCCTTAATTGACGTTCCGACGCACTTTTATTATCACTGAGATAGCAGTATTGTCCAGCTTTCTTTTGTTAACCACCCACCAACTACCTTTATTAGATTTCTGTTTGAACACGTGCAACTTACAACAAAACAATAAACTAGGAACTCGAATAGTTTATAGATAGATAGAGCTAGTCTTTTTTTTAAGGGGGGAAAATCATCGAATGTCTGCTCCCGCCTGGGTGAGGCGGGAGGGATTGTCAGACTCTTACTGACTAAAAAACCACCCCGTTCCTACTCCTGCACGTCGAGCCGGAGCCCCGGTAACCCGTTAGGTTCTCCGCGACTCCGAATCGGTATCGACCCTGTTGGGCCCCATCTGTGGTGGTCTGATGGCTCTTTGAGGCGCGCGCGGAACAGATAGAGCTAGTCTAAGATACTTTTATTCCATGTACCTAATAATTATTTACAAGAAAACAGGACTACCAGATCAAGCATTTTCAGACTGTATGTAGTATTTATATTACCTACTTAATGCATATGTGTGGGTACCTATATCCATTTCCATTTTTAACACGAACATGCCACAGCCGCTGATCACAACTTGGGTCGATTCCAGCAATACTAAAGATGACGACATAAATTCCAAAATACCATTATCAAATAACTCATGTATTTCGCTAACGATCATCACACTGATAATAAACTTGTAACTACTACAAAAAATATCGTATCGTATCGTATACAAGTTCTACATTGCATTGAGAACTTTTCTGCTCACACATTTTAAGTTAATTACTTTATTATGTAGGCAGATTACAATAGTTTGTTGCCACAGAGTCACACATTATATAATTGTAATAGTTCTACTGTGAAGCGGTTCGTTGATTTCTCTTTACTTTCTAACATTAAATAGCTAAAGCGAGCAAAATTAGAAAAATGCTAATTGATTTTCGGCACTCAAATTTATTTAGTAGAGCGTACTGGCTTCCAGTTGATGTCATAGTTTGCGGTAAGGTCAATGAACTTGCAATGAACATTGTCTACGATTAATATTTCATGTTGTGATGGCGGCTGCCCGCGACTACATTTAATGTGCTTACTTTTTTCAATCATTAGTGAACATCGTTTATAAGAATAAATTCTTCGGAACACTAGAGCAAAGAGATCGATCTCTAGAACCAAAAATTAAATGTCCAGTTTATACCGCTACCGTACGTAAGTACATTTTATGAAAATGCGTGAAACTGATAAGATTTATCGATTTGACACTAACATAGTTATGTAAAAACATGAAGTTACTTAGGTACTATTATTTGTAGTATTGTGAGTCACCACTGTACCAGTAAGAGAGACAATAAAATGTAGACGAGTCATAAGTACTACGTATTTCCTTTATGATTAAGAAATCTCGTTCCAGCGATACGTCATTATTCATACTGGAATCTTCGCTGTTTATATAACAGATAGTGGTTGGATCAGTTCCACTTCTGAGCGTAGATTAGTCTGTTTATTACCGGAAAAGATTGACTAAAGCGTGAATTATGTAGACCTATGATGTAGACTCTATACCTTTGATAAGTTGCGGAGAACCTAACGGGTAACCGGGGCTCCGGCTCGACGTGCAGGAGAAGGAACGGGGTGGTTTTTAGTCAGTAAGAGTATGACACTCCCTCCCGCCTTACCCAGACGGGAGCAGCCATTCGATGATTTTCCCCCCTAAAAAAAATACCTTTGATAAGTAATCAATGGCTAACAATGTACTTTGTTATTTCAAATCACTTGCTGTACTAATTTAATGTAACAGAGCCAGATGAGCGGCACTTCACGATTGTATCAGTTTGAATTTTAACTGTAGGTAACAGTAAATCGTAAAACACCCTACCTATCAAAAGATTATTCTCACAATCTTATCTTAAGGAATCAGGAAATATTTAGAGATATATATTTTCTCGTAGCACTTTATTATTGAAATATTCAATTTTTGTGGGTGGTGACTGGTAAAGGTCTCCAGTATCTGATTAACTACTCTCATTATTTCCTTCTAAAATGGAAAAATATACGGAGAATTTAGCAACTACCTGACTACACATAAATGTACTTAATTATTATAAGACCGTAAGAATGAGTATGACTAATGTAGTTTGAACGAAGTGTGTCGCCTTCACCAACTCACCGACGCGACGTTTCAATTTCAAGTTTAAGCGTAAGCCACTGGCCTAGCCAGCCTGTTACTCGGAGAAAGTAAAGTTATTTACTTAGTGGATACGCAGATGTATCATTTAGCCTACTAACCTGTATATTACCACAAATACAGATACGGACATGAACAGTCATAATGTTTAATTTCAATCGTATATTCGGCAGCCATATCGCCAGTGTTAGCAATAACTGAACCGCTGTTCCTAACTCCAATTAGTTTTGCATTTTGCACAAACGGTAAAATTGCCGCCGCGGATATGTTCGCCTCTCGTTGTTAATTAGTGCACTCGAGTTATTACATTAAAATTGCTTATGGTTCGAAAGCGTCTCCACTAGTGCATACCGCAGCTACCTACACAAAAAGAATATTTTGAAAACATTAGGTATGTGCGAAAATAAATAAATTACATATTATTATTTACTTGTATTCAATAACAAGGTCAATTAATAAAAGCTGTCCGCCAGTGATAAGAGGTCATCGCATCGCAGTCTTATCTTGGTTCAACGTCCGCATAAGATTTATAAGGAAGAAAATAGCAAATATTATTATTATGAGCTTATATTACTTGAAATTCATTGACAACTGGTTTTATTTCGATTAGGACCATATTTTAGCAGCGGAGACGTATGCGCGGGAGCAACAGTGATCGTATTGCAGAAACAATAACCGGCGCCGCGGTCGCTGCGGCAAGCGACGACCTAGCTTTACGTTACAAGCTGGGCTATCGCTGTCGTCATACTAGGTTACTACATAATATTACCAACAAATAACGTGTTTCTATAAGTCTCCTATCTACCGAATATACTACGTGCTTATTGTATTTAGAAAATCCTTTTATTGGTAATCAAGTGACAGATATTATAAATAATACATAATATGTAGTTACTATTATGTACCTTAAAGGAGTTGAACGTAGGGTATGATGACCCTAATTTACCACTAAAAAGAACAAGCTTCTATGTATATGAGCGCACTGCCGAGTGTCGTTTCCAAACATCGTTTCGTACTTTTCTATTATTATAGATTAACTCTAGTGGTAGGTAAGTACTAACATTCCTGTGCTAGTTATTCAGCCGACTACTAGACCTCCTCGAAGATACTTACAGCAAATTTTTTTAAGTGACCTTTTTATAATATTAATTATGTAGGTACCTATATTTGTCAATGAAATCAAATTTTAATTTTTCTTAAATAATATATTAATTTCAAGCAAAAATTATTTCCTACAAGGAGTGTAACGCACAATCGATTCAATGTAAGCCCGGCTTTAGTGTGTATTAAAACTTAGAATGTGCCTATTGTTATTTACTCGTTAGGTAATAGAAAGAAATCCGTATAATTTTAGTGACGAATGTTCTTGCAAGTTGTAATAAAATACCTCTGATAATCTAACGGTTCAAATTACAATGAAGATAATTAAGCTTAGTTCGAGATTCCGAGAAATTCATAAAAGAACTACATTTTAAATTAAAAGATAATAATATATCCGTTGAAATTTTTATCTACTATATTGTCAGCTCTAAATGAAAATGTAAAACGAAACGAAACATTAAAAAATTGACGACAGCAAACATTTAGGAAATCGTAAGTAGAGAGATATAGTGTGACGCGGATCCAGTGCGGGAGGCTGCGAGCGGAGCTGCGATCAATACGCGGAGCCGTCGACGCCGGCACCACCACGCCGCACCGCCACCCCTCGCACGCCCTCCTGCCGGCCCCCGTCGCGCGGCTACGAAAGCGAACGCACCGACCTCGCTGCCCTTCACCAAAGTGTCGACGACCCCTGGACCCCGCGCGCCTCCCTACGTCCGCGTCAGCCCTTCGCACTTCTCCAGTTCGATCTTCGTGACCTGATTAGTTCCTAAAATTTCTTTGCCATTCAAGCAGACTGTATTGGTTATATTTTAGTACATCTACCTTAATATTCAGGGATTCAAAACAGATAGGTCAATGGTATACGTGATTAATTAAAATATAAACTCAAAATCAATACGAGCATCGTTTTATATTGACCTTCTAGTCACCTTGAGAGTAGAATCGTCTTTATTTTCCTTTCCTTTCCGCGTTATCTTTGTTCAACTAATAAAGGGAAATAGGTAACTCAAAGTTTTGTTTTATCTAACCGATTGGAACAGTAGTTCCAATCAATACTGATAACTAAATGTTGTAACTTTGCGGAGGGAGTCTAGCGAATGAACATGAATAAAAGGACCTCCACTGCATAAGACACGTACAGTATACGTGTACGGCACTGTAAAAAGCTTTTCTTCCGTTACTATTTATTGCAGTTTTATATCTACAAAATTGTCGGGACTCAACCATGATATTAAACTGTAATTGTTAGTCTAAGTGACGGATAATTTGACCTATTTTACGAAATGGTGTCAAACCTTATGTGTACAAGCCCTTAGAGTGCGTAAGACAAATTGCGCTTACAACCAACGGAGTCGGATGTCGCTGCGGCATCTCACGTGGCTCAGTCCACGACTATTTTAGGCAGCGTGCATGGCATTTGGGACGCGTGCTGGAAACTACCTACTTACTGTGGTTTATTTACGGATGCCCTACTAACATTTCTGACTACATCGATAAATTAATATATATATTTTTTTAATTTAGGCTGTAATAAATATTTACATTATTAAGCATACCAAGTATCTATAATACTGGTGTCTGAGAGTAATCGTTCACGGTCTTATGAGCTTTAAAATAATTCATGTCTTTATCCAGAGCGTCAAGTAAAAAAAGTGCAGCTAATTAGGTTCTGAACACCTGAGCAAGTGAACGTTTTTAACCCAACATAGCAGCTGTAAATTTAACGGAATCCACATTGGATAGTTATCTATCTTCACATTTATCTTCCTATTTCATTCCATTTAGATCACAAACTTAACATAGTATTTTAAAATACCTACGTAGTTAATTCGTATCTTTTAGACTTAGATGATTTCATTCTCACGCGCCTTACAATAAATTTTGCAACTGAAACCTAATCAAGCCTAAATGATTTTAATTCTGAAGCAATTTTGATTCTGAAATCAGACTAAAAACATAAAGTGGTACGTATGTATCTATGTGGCTATGTGCTCTTTCCATCGGTACTGGTACAGCCGTACGGGCCGCAATAGGAGGGTAGGTAGGTAGTACGCGTCTTATCGACCCGCTTGCCGAGACAACGGACCGAATCGACTACTGCGGCGCGCTCGTACACTTGACATTCGCTTTTCCCAACGGGGTTCACGACCCTAAGCGTTAAAATTAACAATATCGTACGTACATAAGACCACGCTTTTTATTTTCTGGAAGGGTAGGTAATTAACTCCTCACTTCTAATACATGCCATCTATTAGGCATTATGATAGGCTTGATGAATGAAATGAAAGATGATGAAGCTCAACAATACTTTTCCAGCCGGGGGAATCACTAGTTTATTTTTTCGGTAATAGTTATTGTGATCACCATAGTAAAAACTCGCAATTTTTTAATTCTTTTCACTTTTGCTAACGTAGACCCGTACTTGAATTCACTTGCCATTATGGCAGAAATTATGGCTACGAAGCCTAGATAAGATACTTTCATTGATTCTTGTAATTATTTATTTCCACAGTAATAAAACTTTTTACCCCTAATTTTCCGTTTAGGTATTTAAGCTCGATACGTGCACATTACTAATAGCTTCAGCTGCCTCTGCCCTTAGAATATTGGTTACCTAGGTTAGTTGCAGTGCCGATAGTTAAGCGGCTTTAAATGTATTCTGTGTAGGTACTCAAACATACTTATTGGAGTTTAACAGACATGTTATTTTTGTCAACAGGCGAGGAGCACCCAGGACAGAAACAACGCAAAGGGTTCTTCAGAAGTCTCTGGAAAAAATCTCGCCACTATTCTCTAGAGCACCCTTGAGGAAACACCATGGGAGACTTTCGACTTGACCACAATCCTTTTTGATTTCCTCGCCCTCAGCGATTGGCAATCAAGAAATGTATTCTGAGCGATTAGTGTAGCGGATCATAATAAGTACTTCTGAGGAAACGGTACAGAAGGTCTGTCTTTGAACGAACATGACAAATATATTTTTTAAACGTGTTTAATATGTACGTCATGTGACATGTAATTTTGATCAATTAAAATTATTAACCAATTTGTGCGAGTACGTATGTATTTGAGTAATGATAGTACATTTTCGATAACCGATTGGGTTATGGAATCTTAGTAAATAAGAAGTGTTGGCTTGTGGAACTCGGAGTATTATTATTTAATAATTCTGATGTATAGGTATATCGAACATTGTGTATTGGTTTGTATAATTCGTGCTTTGATCAACGCATAATTTATTTCTTAAGATGTGATAAGTACGTATTTTATTAATACACGACAAGAATTAATTTTCTTTTCATATAAATAGAATTGTAGAAATGTAGATAACCATGTAGCAAGTAAAACAGACGCGTTTTATTTCATCTATAATGTTATAAAAAGGCTCTAGAAAAATAAACTAATCAATTGTATACATGTTTACTTCACAGGAATATTAAACTACTTCGCAAAATTATTTTCCACCTTACTAAAAAACCTTGCTCGAGTGTTAATTCTAAAGAACCAAATTCACTTGATAGATTTTATTATTGCTACAAGATTAACATTTTATACCAATCCTTGTATTCGAGTGTACTTAACTCTTTAATACTGTAGATTTTGTCAAAAGGAAAATAAAATTATGTTCATTAGCAATTATGTTTTCGTATTTTATTGTATACTCCCATCTGCCCCTCTCATTAAATTTTTGTATGAAGAAAAACAAACGTATTATAATACAAATCATTTTATTATTAGATAGACACAGTTCCCATCGCTTATCAGAAACAATGTACAAAGCTATAGTAGTAATATCAAATATAAACAATATGCACCCTTCGTTTACTGCAAGCCTTGTCTGAGGATACAGGGTAATTGAGCGCTTCTATTTCTGCAGCTAAGAGATAGAATAGAACAGAATGCAAAATGTTTATTATTCACTACACAAGATTATAAATGCGGCACAATTAAAAGAAAGCATAGCAGAAAATTGTAATAGCGGGCCACGTGGAGGCCGAACCGCGGCGCGTCGCGGTACGAGTCTCGTTTGCCACGCACTCATGTGTCGGATATTACTCACACGATGGTTCCAGTGGGACTAGAGATCTTCAATTAAAATCGTAATACTTGGGTTACAGTGTCTTTCAATTTGTAACAAGCCCTTACACGAATGCTATTTATAATTATATATATATGTTGTATAATGTTGTTACAGTAATTTCATTACGTGGTTATTATAATTCTTTTCAAGCATCTGTACGTGGGCATTTGTGTCTAGATGGCTAGTGACGATATTTTTAAGTCTACCTTGATTATAATTATAATTTAGATCATTGTACACGCCAGATAAAGTATCAGAATGCTTGAGAAGAAACCTAAAAAAAATCTCTATACATCATGCTTTGAGACCTGCTTGCAAAGCTGCTTACTGGTCAATAAAAGCAAACTTTAAAATACATGTTTAAACCATTACAGCATACAATTACTTCATGGAAGCGGTGAGCGTAAAAAAAGGGTCCAAAATCCGCAAAGTAATTGCATCTGCACACAGTTACTAAACGCATCACGCACTGATGACGCCATAATTTATCGAATATCAAAACAAATGAACGGTCCTTATCACTTTATAGAATATACAAAATGCAGTTACTTATTTCCCTGTGGAAAAAATATTATCTTATAGTATTCTTAGATCACGGCGCGCTTCGATCTGTAAAAGAAAGAAATTTCGTTTTTTCAAGAGTTACCGAAAAAAATCTAATCTTTCAAGATTAATTAAACGCGTTTATGCACTCACCTCTAATAACCACAGGTAATTAAATAGTCTCCTAACTTCTCCACTACGGATGCGGCTTGCTGGGGTTGGATGGGTTCTTCATACAGAGAAATTACGACGGCTGAAACAAAATATTGAAATAAACTATCCGCTGCAGATGTATTCACGACAGCCACTTTGATTCACTTTCCCCACACGTAACGGTGTTTAAGTACGAACTTTCCCTTTCGTTAACATAAGCAAGATTACAACGAAGGTACGTAATATTCACTTAAAATTTTGAATAACTTAGTTGAACATAGCACAACATTATGTTTAACAAAACAATACGATGATAAGTAAGTTAGACTACTATTTCTTGTTTCAATTTATACGTTTTTTTTTACAGAAATTGCTACACCAGAGATGTTTTGAAATAACGTCTAAAATTATTTTCATGAATATTGATGAATAATATACGATATATTGCTTAGAATAGTCATTATTTCTTATTTGAATTCAAATAGCACTTAATTATTCTTTTTAATTCTTCGTCTTCTATTGTTGGTTAATCATAAGGTTCCTGACAATTATTTCCTAACAAAAACCCTTATTTCCCAACAGTTAGTAGCGATTGTGGTACAATGCAATATTTGTCATTAAACAGAAGTGTGCAGATTTGTAAGAAGAAATACATTACTATGCAAAGAAATCATATTTGCATACAATTAAATATAATACAATTCCGCAAATTTAGTTACACCGTACCAATTTGGCCAACAATAAAGAACAGAAAATTTACCCTAAAAAATAGACCAGTGTCTTTGTCTAATAGAGAAAACTTCCTTAACGTGTGGTGATTTCTTTTCCTCTGTAAGAGATACGTGCGGTAAAAAGCTTCGCATTTATAAGTATGTAAATAAAAATTTCGTGTTTATTTACGTAAACTGAGAAATCCCACAACATGAGTTTATGCGAAATCGAAGTTTATACATCGACTTTAGTAAATCTGATCCCAAATAATCCTAATGCACAATACCGTAGGTTTGTTAAAACATATCGTCTATTTATGTAAAAATACTAGTGATGAAATCACTGACGGACACTTATAGATGCAATTTGAGTGTGCTTAGTTAAGAATCGCGAGACAAAAAACAACGCGCTAACTGTAGTTATATTCACATCGATAACATAATATCGATAAATATTCCTAACACAGGAAAGTACAAATTTAATAAACGAAACATTATCTCAAAAATGTGATCATTTGACAATTGCTTACCTTGCTGTGTCTTCATGCAGTGCACGCCGACCTTGCCAAGTTTTGCGCGTATGATGCGGTCTGTGCCACTGAGGTAGATGTACCGTGTACCCGCTATCGTCAAGCCCCCGCTCGTTAACATTGATTCATTGTCGAAACCGGCCACTATCTTAGCGACTTCATCTTTTGATATCTATTAACAAAAATAAATAATTAATAAATATATAAAATAAACATATTTTAGAAACTGAATGAAAATTTAGCCAATGTTTTTAAACAATTTCAATTTAAGTGCAAGATTGACGATTCAACTTTCTGCGGCGCACCATGTTGCGCGTTCATTTCCCGCACGGAACAACACTAGTGCGTCTGAGAGTGATTCACTATTTGTTAATTCACTCACGGCAAATGAAATCCTGTGATTAAACCCTTTTTTTTAGAACAATCGGATTAGTAACTCATACCTATTATACCTACCTAAAAACTTCATTTGATATTAGTGAGATTATACAGATACAAGGATTTCGTATTACTAAACTTCTTAGCAGGTCCTACACATCTTAAGTATTTGGTACTAACAAAAGTAATTTTAAGTTTTTGAACTAAACAATTCAGTGCAGTAGCTTAAAGTAACATACACATATTTGGATGACTGATTCTTTCAATCTAATAATGAAGTTTAATGCAGATGAGTAATAAATGGTAGATTACAACACAGATAATTTAATAGTTAGTATGAATAATGTTATGTAATTTTTTTTGGGTCCCTGAGGGTGTAAATATGTGAGGACCACATTGTACCAAAAAAAAAACTAGGTGTATTATTGTTGTCTAAAAATAACTAAACTTGGGTATAATTAATATACAAAGTGAAATATCAGCAGTTGGTAAAAAGACAACTGCTCCACTTTATAGCCAGAATAGGTCAAAGAACTCTTCAACATTGTAAGACTAAAAATTTTAAGTAAAATAATTATCTTGTGTTATTATGCTTACACATATGAATGTAACATGTTACAAATAATATAATTATAAACATATTAGTGATATTTCTGATTTTGATTTAAAAAAAGTAAAATATTTAATTTTCCAAATAAGTAATAATTCAAGGTACTTTGTAATTATCTAGTCTGAAGCTTCAAAATTTGTTTCATCAAGAAGTCTACATTTATTTTTTTAAGTCAAGTCAAGAGTTTCATCTAACTAACTTACTTCATTTAACTCAGGAATTTAAAATACTTATTTGCAATTTAGTCAAATACAGAATGCAAATTAAAATTTTGAAGACTTCCACACAATTGCAATTGGTTTGATATCACATTGATCAGGGTTTAAATTATAAGTTTGCCCTGACTTAGTTTTTTCCATTAAGATTTATTCTCTATACTAAACAGCGGCAGATACAACCCTCATTTGGAACAAATTTTAATAAGAATATTACACATGTTTGGTTAATTAAAGACTACTTATATGAATTGTAAAAGAAATCAGGAGTGTAAAAAAATATTTTCTCTAACAAAGATAAATGCATATTATTTATTATAGCATTTTAAATTAAAATATATGTTTTTTTAGACAAAACGGAACATTGGTTCCAAATTTTGAGCTACGCCAAAAAATCTTTACAAGGTAATAATAAAGTGTGAAATATGCATGATTATTGATAAGTCACCTGCATCACTATTCCAATAAGAAGGTACAATGCTATATCATGTAACGAGTAAGCATGTTTTACATACTTTTAACAGCAACACATTCAACTAGAAATAAATAATGTAAATTAAAATACCGGCCGGCGCATTCATAAAGGACTCTAAAATGCGCACACAAAGACGTTCCAAAAGGTTCATTAAAAACTTAATAGAAAAATTGGCGAACTCAACATTGAATGTATTGTTCTAATTATTCGTAACGCAGCGAATTTACGTTTCTAATACGAATTGCAGGCTCCCACCACATGTCGCCATCTTGTCATTCTCGCCGGATAAAGAATTCGTCATCGTCGAACCTACATATGAACTGCACTCAATAACACTTTGAGACACTTTTTTATGCACCATTAGAAAGAATTTAAAAATCACTGACTCTTTAGGTATAATCTTGACTGAGGAAAACTTACTTCGAAGCCTTCTGACTTGGCCCAGACATTCCCATCGTGACCGGCAATCGCAGCTTTTGTAACACATCTGGATGCCATTAACTGTTTATCGACATAATCTTGCCAGCTCATTTTGATTGAGTTCGACTTAAAATAAAACTACACTTGACTAAATCACAATCTACTCCTCACAACGAGCAAGCGCTTCACACGAACAAAAAGCACTGCCGTTCCAAAATGGCAGCGTAGTCATAGACACAACCGGAAGAACTCAATGACCAACTTTACAAACTTAAATATGTTTATGGTTTTCATAGAGAAACGACTTTTTGTGGTTCATGAGTCTAGACATAAATTAACTAATGGAAATAAAGATTTTGTGCGATTTTGAAGTATATCTCTTCCATGCTGTATAGTAAAATAATTATTAAAATATTGAGGAACCAATAAGAAATATAAAGAAGATTTTATGCACAGCCAAATTCCGAAGTACTTTAATTTAGTCGAAATTAAACATTTCCAAAATAAAATATACGGTCTTGACTGTATAAATTGTTTGTGTCTGTATACAACAATGTCAAAAATTTGTTATATTAATTAATGACAAAATTCTGCCCTTTTGTATCATAATCGCACGCACAAAATAGTTTTCGCGTGTTTTCTGTTCTCGTAGGAATTTAGGAAAACTGTATCGTAATTCTATCAGATGAAGCCTAGATAATCCATTTTTTTATAACATCAACCTATTTAGTTACTTTCTATAAATCCACAATATCGGACGGTGAATAGTACACTTTATAGCATGTAAAGTGAAATCGTAAAGATGTTGAAATGATTCTTTACAAAACTTATCTTACGTTGACATAATTAATAACATTTTCTAAAGTAATAATAATCTGAAAATATTAAATAAGTAAGTAGATAATTTTAAAAAATAGATTTAGTAATAGACAATAATCGATACATCTACACAATTCATGTATAGACTATAGAGGAGCTCTATTTATTCCATAAATTATCGTGACGTAATTCCGGTGTTTCATTCCTCACTATTTTAGTATTATCCGTCTTGGAATATTCGCGCACGTTTATAAAGTTTTAAGAATTTTATAATTCTTAAAAAAATATTTTAAAATTATTGTCATACATTTTGTATACTAAATTGACCAGTTTCAAAAAACCTATAAAAAAAGCTTCTGTTAACTTAACTTGACCTTGCTTATGCTTTGCTAGTTCTTTTCCGTTCAGCAACCGCGATTGTAACATGTCGTATTCACCAGAAAGAAGGTAAGTGGAGTTCTTGAAGTAATTAAGCCCTATTTACAAAAGATTATATGTTGTAACTGAAAGTAATATGTTAAGATTTAATTGTATCTTAGTAAATTTATGTAATGTGCTGTAACTTGTGAAATAAATCCCATGTCCCTGTCGCCGATTGCCAACATGGCGCTGGTAGTAGTACTTTATTGTAAGTCTGATTCAGTGCACGTGTTTTTTATTGTAGTATCTGCTTTTCTTTGCTCATATATATTAAATGCTCGTAGTAACATATATTTTGTATTGGTTTTGTAGTATTACTTTTTATTATTAACGGCGTATCATTATAATGAAATGCCAGTTTGACAGAAGCACTACTAATACTGCAATTTTCACACATTTTGCATATTCATTCCAAAAAGGTTAAGTTACTCATCGTTCATAGACACATTTATTTACAATATTTTATATCATGTTTCTCAGATCAGAAGATTGGCCGGAGGATTCCAAAAACGGGCCGTCTAAGGATCAAGGCAATTATGATGGGCCTCCAGGAATGGAACCCCAAGGGGCACTTGATACAAATTGGCACCAGGTCGTGGAAAGCTTTGACGACATGAATCTGAAGGAAGAACTGTTGAGAGGAATTTATGCTTACGGTTTCGAAAAGCCGTCCGCTATCCAGCAACGCGCTATTATGCCTTGCATTCAGGGCCGTGATGTCATAGCTCAAGCCCAGTCTGGTACTGGGAAAACTGCAACATTCTCTATTTCTATTCTACAGCAAATCGATACTAGTATTCGTGAATGCCAAGCACTAATTTTGGCCCCTACTAGAGAGCTGGCTCAGCAGATCCAAAAGGTACGAAATGTGGTATTTTTTTTGGTTGTTTGGTGATTAGTAACAATGCTAACAATGTTTACAAAATGGATGCTAGAATTGACAGTGTGTTACTTTTAGGTGGTGATTGCTCTAGGGGATCACTTGAATGCTAAATGCCATGCTTGCATCGGAGGCACCAATGTTCGCGAAGACGTTCGTCAGTTGGAGAGTGGTGTACATGTGGTGGTGGGTACACCTGGTCGCGTATACGACATGATAACTCGTCGTGCTCTACGTGCTAACACTATCAAGCTGTTTGTACTTGATGAAGCTGATGAAATGTTGTCAAGAGGGTGAGTCAACTCATTGTTCTATTTACTCAAAACATAAAAACAAGTAGCAATAATATTTCACATTGCTTGTCATTTCTAAACAAACTTTAGGTTTACAGAGTGAATTAATAGACCAGAAAATGATATAGCTAAGACACTTTACCATTCTGTAATATTGTTACTATTAAACATGTAAATAAAACAGTTTGTCTAATTAACAAATCATGCATTGTGGCAATTAGTAATATGTGCGTTATCATAATCATCAACTTATAACTTAACTAACTAATGGGCTCAACTCATAGTATCGTCATCATTAACATCCTGTTTCTCTACTCAGAAAAGGCCTCTTTTCACATGAAGAACCAAAAAATTACCATGATTGCTCAAGGCAGATTGTCAGACTGGCCCTGTGCTTGAGAAATGAGCGCCTAACTATTGGGCTACCACAACTACTATACTATAATCATTGTCATGGTCACTGGCCTATACCTGTCTCTCTGGTTTGAAAAAGCCTAATTTCACATGAAAGTAAACAAAAATTACCATGCTTACTCAAGACGGGTGCACCAACCAATCGTAGTCGCCCAATGGCCGCTGCAATTTCTATATAGATCTACTAGGCACTGCCATGATAATATAATCAACAACTACTATGTTCATGTTCCAGATTTAAAGATCAAATTCACGATGTCTTCAAGATGTTGTCAGCTGATGTGCAAGTCATCTTGCTGTCTGCCACGATGCCAGATGATGTGCTTGAAGTATCCCGTTGCTTTATGAGAGATCCAGTGCGCATTCTTGTGCAAAAGGAGGAGGTATGTTGGAACCATCATATTACAATGTTTTATTTAGCAGTGACATGACATGTTTGTCTAAACAGGTTAAGAAAATGTAAACACTAATACTATATTCTTTGTATTTTTATAGCTTACCCTGGAGGGTATTAAACAATTCTATATTTCCATTGAACTGGAAGAGTGGAAATTGGAAACACTTTGCGATTTGTATGATACACTTTCGATCGCTCAAGCTGTAATTTTCTGCAACACCCGTCGCAAGGTAAATTTCATTAAAATTAATATGTTTTAGAAACATCACATGCTTTTCTGTTGCATTCTAAATGCAATTATAAACTACACAATACTTAATACTAAAACTACATAATACTTTAGTTTTATTGTATGTAAGCACAACTACAATCAAATCTGTTTAAAATGCAATCTGTCAGTCTATAACATTATTATACAGTCAAAACCGCTTACAACGACATCGTTTATAACGACGAATAGGGTACGACGAAATTTTGAGGTCCAGTCTATTGTCTTATAAAGCATAAAGATATTGGTTATAGCGACTATTGGTTATAATGATCATAATTAATCGGTCCCTTCGATGTCGTTATAAACGGTTTTGACTGTATTTGTTTTGTTTTTGTATTTACCAATTGTGTTAAATAGTTATTAAAAGTTCAATTTCAGCAAATGTCTTATAACTGCGATTTTTATTTCAGGTGGATTGGTTAACCGAATCCATGCATGAGCGCGATTTCACCGTGTCTGCTATGCACGGTGATATGGACCAACGCGAGCGCGAAGTCATTATGCGTCAGTTCCGTACAGGATCTTCTCGTGTCTTGATCACTACTGATTTACTTGCCCGTGGTATTGACGTTCAGCAAGTCTCTTGCGTAATTAATTATGATCTGCCTACCAACCGCGAAAATTATATTCATCGGTAAGTGCACTTAAAGTGTTGTTTATAACAAACTAAATTGTAAAAAGGCACAAGTTGGCATTTAATAACCATAATAAGGGTTACATCTTTGTCAACAAACTACATAATGAAAAACATGCAATTCATAATGCAAAATCTAACATGAATGGTGTTATGTTAGACTGACACAATGACATGCCATATGGGCATAGACATGCCTGATTGATGCCTATTGAGAGTGATACCGATCGAATTCATTAGATTCATCTTAATAGAACCCTAAATATTGATACATCTAAAACAATCAGTTTTAAATTCCATAAATAAATTTTCAATACCATGTGTCAATAGATTTAGCTAATGATTTTTTTATTATATTCAATTTATTCAATTGCACAATTTTATTTTTACAGAATTGGAAGAGGCGGGCGTTTCGGTCGTAAAGGAATCGCCATAAACTTTGTTACTGAAGCGGACAGGAGAGCACTCAAGGATATTGAGGAGTTCTACCACACGAGCATCTCAGAAATGCCCAGCGATGTGGCTAACCTCATCTAAGGAGCCTGCGCTTACCTGGTTTATACTTTGTGTCCTGCGTTCTATTTCAATATTTATAAGGTGTGTGTATTAGAAGGAGCCTTCTAATAACCGCTGTGCCGAATTTTTCATTGGAACTCATTTCGTTCGGACCGATATAATCGTTTTAGTTTAATTAATGATTACATTATACTATAATAGACGTATCAATATAAGTTTAATATACATAGTTAGGAGTAAGACCGGCTCGGCCGGATGGCCCCCGTTCCGCGCAGGCCTCTCTGCCGCTTGCATAGAGGTCTCATCGGGTACTGGAGAGGCTATTTCAATCACAAAAGTTCTAGAAGAAAACCCACTGTATTGTAACTTTTTTCCAGTTGTACATAATATGGTAACTGTTTTTGTAATACCCTAAATAAATATAATGAAATATCTCAACTGTATTGTTATTGATATACTTGAAAATTGTAGCGCTCCATTCCCGATCGGAACCTTAATTTCTCTAAAACGTTGTATTGAATTGTGAAATTTTGTTTTACAGAAGATCTACCCACTGAGCCTGTGAAACGCACTTTGGACACAACTATGTGGAAATAATAAATCAAAATTTCCTCAATATGTTCATTACTTTCTTTTGACAGGTCCTTATTGTATCCTGTATTCCCATTTACATTTGCTTTTGCATTTTACTTTTTAAAAGATTGTTTTCTACATGGTTTTTATGTTCATTTCGAATTATTTATATTTTTGGAATAAATTTTGTTCGAAGTATTAGTGACTTTTGACAAAAATGATAATTAAGGTTCCTATGCTTACATAATATTATCTTTTTATAAGTAGAAAAATAACCTTATTCCAAATACACTTAAATTATGTTAATTTAGCTTATAAACTCTTTGTGACGATCAAAATATATTCAGATAAATGTATGACGATATAAATTTATGACAACTTTTTTGTGTCTTGACTCAATGTTTAGTACCCATTTCACAAGGTGCATAGTATAAAGATTATGATCGCTATTCCAGATTTTGATGAATTGGCGCTGCGTATTGTAAAGACATGTGAATGGATTTGTCATGTAGCATATGAAGTTACCTACCTGTAAAATTAAGAAGTGCTGAAAAAGAAATTTCTAAAACAGATTCTCGATGACATTTTCCTTCTTGCACTACTTCATGTGGTTCTACTGTTCTTGGCAAGTATGTTTACGGCACTTTTTGCTCAGTTGTGCTTGGTTGCTACATCTATGTGGAAGACATCCAGCTGTGCAACGAGCAAGTGCTTTAGCAACGAATTTGCAATTGTTTGCATTGTTATTGGTACATATCCTCATAAGTGATTCGAATATGAATAGTTGGGGGTAGATATTCTGGAATTGAACCCCACGCCTTAGCAAACGTAGTATAGGCCGCCCTCCAGCTAGGCTAGGTTACTACCTAGCTCTTGTAGGTATCCATTACTATGGATACCTACAAAGACCTCGACTAGTGTGCTATTAGTGCCATATCTAAAGTGTACGTGTAAATGAGTGAGTTTGTGTTCACGCTAACTTGCGTTGTTTGATATTTCGTTTTTGGTAAGTTAGCGTGTCCAAACGCTTAGGGCACTGTTGGCGAACACTGGCTCAGTTCATTTAGGTGTTAATAAAAAGCTATTATGACTGGCTTAGGGATAATCTCATATTGGCGGCCAGAACTCTTAACAAAAAATCAACAGTCATTTCAGGGTAAATTACACTTGCAACAGAGTGCATCGGGATCAAAATTCAGGAATAGGTAAGTGTATTATGTAAAATAGGTACCAAGTAAGCACGTATGAGGTAGGTAGGTTTGTGCATAAAAAGGGACGTTTTAAGATCTACTGGCCTTTTGACAATTAATTCACATAAAAAGAACACTGACACTTATGGTTCTGCATCAAAGTGAGTATTTACTTTTTGCTATAAAACAATAATAGGCGTAAATTAGGTCAGGTTCACGGCTATAGTATTCCCTAAAATCAATCACCGATTTTTTTTTTGAATTGAGCCATGTCCAAGTAACAAAAAATGTGACCAGCTCATCATAATCTCGCTTGATATGATCTTTTCGCAGACCCAGTCAGTATACTACTTCTTTTGAACAAAATCACATGGTAGGTACTATGATAATCTTGAAATCCTTCAGGTTATTTGTTTTCTTTATCTTTCTCATTAGTAACAAGATAATAATTCAAGCGCCCTACCATACAAAATTGAGAGAATATACCTAGTTTTTGTTAACCGTCTGCAGCTGACGTGTAGTCCCACAGACACCGCGAAATACAAAATCACGTGTTTACCGTCATTTTTCAAATACGAACATCACTGCTGCGAGTATCTTACTGTATAGTGCTCGCTATACTTTAATTCTATAAAAATATTTGCTGTTGAAATGGTGTCTGGTATAATATACACCTCAGTTGAATTGTAACAATTTAACCACGTCAGTTGCAGAGGGTTAAGTAGTTTTTCAGATTCGAATTAGGTGGTGCTAAACTGGTTCAGTCTGTCACCACTAACGTGGTCAAAGTTGTGACAAAATTGCCCTCATCCGGTCAGATGAACCCAGCTCTACTCTAAGCAAAACCTTGATACGTGATAATGAAACCTCTAGTGCCGTGCATGTCCAACACAAATAATGTAGGTATTGATTTTAATATAATAACACATTTCAAATGCTTTTACAAAAAACTTGTTAGGTAAGGTACCTACATTTCCTGAATAACACTAAAAGAACTCAAAGAATAAAGTTATTATTTTTATTTTATTTTATATTTACTATGGTTGTAACAGTAAAGTCCTTGAGGTACTTATATAATATAATTTCACAACATTCAATAATAATTAACATCACTAGACAACTACATAGCTACCTACTTATAAAACTTAATAAATTAATATCACACTTCTGGTAATGTTCATGTTGACTAAAATTAAATGGAACAATATTTTCAACAAATATCATAAAAATGCAAAAAGTAGTATAAGTAAAATGACAGATATAGGAAAAAATATATAAATAGACATTCGAGGATGACAGACTGACACAAGAATAGATGAGTCACTTTCTTCATTTTGCAAGCCTTCTTTAGTGGGTTTTTCAACAATAACTAACTCATCACTAAAGAAGTCTATGTTGAATTCACATTCAGTTCTATTAACACAGACTTTAGATTCAGAATTATTCACATATTGGAATGTTGGCTTATAAATATCAAAAATTGCATGAATATCATTAATACCACTGTCTGAATAAAATATGTAATAATAATATCCATCAAGCAGTACTTCATGAACAACTTTAAGAGTGGTAGTGTTTTCTAGGTAATTTGTGCTGTTACACTGCACAGAGAAAGGAAATAAGCGATTTATTAGAATCATATCATGAAAACACTCATTTAATGTATTTTCAAATCTAGAAACAGGTTCCTCTAGTTCTACAGTACTGTTGAAAGCATTCCCTCCATGATAAACACCAGTATCCAATAATGTATTTGGATTATGCAATGGTATATTTTTTATATCCCGTTTTGCTCTTTCTTGAACAATTTGTGATTTTTTCTCTGTTGTACCTTTAGTATGTAATATACTTTGTGAACTATCATGACCATCTAATTTGTTTTCTTCATTATTATGTGTTAGGTGTTTTCGAGTATTATTTTCTTCGTTTTTCTTATCTGGATTTTCTAAAGTCACGAGAAGTCCTTGGTGTTCTACTTTTGGGATACCTTTTTCTTGTCTATTATATCCATCTAAAATTCCACATGTATTCAATATCCTGTCCCCTTTAACAACTAAAATTTTAGAACCTTTGTGCTGAGAACATGCTTTTAATTCTACTGCAGCGCCTTTTAGTAAATAAAATCCCCAATATTCCAATGTGTCATCCAGCAATGTCATTGACTTTTTTAATCTTATGTGCTTTCTCTTATTGGATATTTCAGGGGTACCTTTCATCTGGAAAGCACTAAATGTAGTGTTCATTTTCAATGAATGCTTCTCACAAAATATTGATGATTGACCTTTATGAATTTGAATAACATCCGAGTCAGATATTTTGTACATAACATCAGCATATTTAATATTCCTCAAATATAAAGGTAATACTATTAGAATCGAAGGCAGAATTGTGGTGAGCAGGCAAAATGTTATAACACGCCGTGATCCATGCATTTTATTTCCATCTGAAAAAAAAAAAAACATATTTTGTACATACTTAATTATTAAGTATTACATTTATTTATCCAATAAAGAACATTTTTCACTTTTGTTAGTAACAAGCCTTTACTATTTTTTGTTATATTATTTACTATATTTTCCTTTGAACTTTTACTCTTGAATCAAAATCTCACCACTGAATCCTCAAGTCGAAAATATTTTATCTACACACGGGATTTCGGCCTAGTCAACACAAAATTGAATTACCTAAGTAATCATTCTAAGCTTGTAAGAACATTGTAATTCTAGCAAAGTTGCCTTGAAAATTAAGATTCAACAGAAAGATGGATTGTGTTTATGTTTACAATTAGCACGACATGTAATAATGTCATTCATTTCAATCTGTCATTGACATTTGATACTGACAGTTGACAGACAGTTGTTTTAAGAGATGAACGTGGTTTTTCAGATTATTATATGAGTCAACTATTTATCCGAAAAAATAATATTGAGAAATGAATAAATACTGAATACCTTCTACAGAATAGTACTATGTATTAATAAAAGAATACATAAGAAGAATATTTATTTAAAAAAAATATATATTATGTACAATTTAGGTAGGTATTTATGTATTATTAAACAAAATGTTAGATATAGAATAGCTATAACATTGCGAATTTTATTCCCCGGGACCCCGGAAGATTACCTAGTATTTTCTGCAATTTCTATGCTCATTAGGTTTAAAAATTATGTATATCTCATTACTTTAACAAACTTCAACTTCCCCGAGTTGTTAATGTATCTACATATTATGTAGGTCATAATGTTATGTTATTACTCAATATGTCTAAAGAACAAAATATCTATAAGTTTAGATTAAACATTCTTACCGTATCGCTAATTAATTAGATGCTTTAGTTGTAAATAAAATGAAAAATCTAGCACATTTAAAAAGAATAAAATTAAATGGTAAGGATTATGTCATATCTACACATTTATGTCATATATAGCCTCCTCATGAGGTATGCACTGGTATACAATATATACACCACTGTAATCTATTTCGTAGCTTATTTAGGTACGTTACTTAATGAATGAATGGGCAGCATTTATAATAAACGAATGTACAAGTTCTTTTAATCAGTACCTAGATTAGCCTTGATGTCGCCTACCTAACAAATACAAGTAGTAAATATAAATTTAACTTACCTTCTTTATTTACGTTTGTATAATGATAATTAGTATTATAATACGACGTATTTACTGGCCTCGGCAACTTTTTCTCCATTTTGCACACTTTTATTTAATAATAGTTAGAGAAAAATACAGTCATTTAGCTGCAGTGCCATTTAACTGTATTACATTTAATTAGATATACATAATAAACCAGCAAGCGTAATAGGTTAATGATAAGCTTATCAAATGTTTTATCAGTTTGTACTATAATACGTCTGGTCCACAAGACTAATATGCATACTGGTTCGCCTCGTCGTGTCGTGTCGTGATTACAAAATGTTTATTTGCGTAGCCATACTTAAATATCGTCAGCTAGGTATTTACAATGCTATTAAGTAAACTATTGGGCAGTAATAACATATGTAACACGACTATGGTAATAAGTAAATACTGAAGTCCGTAAATTATTAGTTTTACTTTTAGCATTCCGTATTAAACTTGCAGACTAATGCGACATCAGCATATTTTACTTTACCTTCTTTCTTTCATTACTTACGTTATTTGCAAGCATGTTTGTTTTATTATTAAGAAGATGTAATAAAATTAGTTGCAACTAAAGGTTAAATCGTTATTGAAATAAACTTTATGACTGTTTAGTGTCTATCTACTCTGACTAAGGCGATTGAAAAAATTTCAACGTCTTTGACTAGACCTACATAAACATAACATAATTATCAATAAACAATAAGGATGAATGATGATTGTGTAGCATGGGGCTTCAGCTGCCTTATGTTTTCATAGCAGAAGTCGCTCAGTCCAGTGTGAGTCACACGATCTCTCGCTGTCGACTATAGTTCAAAAGATGGTCGGTAGTGCAAAGCGATGTCCGCAATAAAAACCTAGGTGCGCGGTTACGGTCCATTTGGATTGTTAGCACCTACCTACTTACTTTTGAAAAAAGAAAAAATATAAACAGTACCCAAAAGTTGATGACGTACGGAAACACTAATTTATTATTTCTGTACGATTCTAGCTCGACTGGCACCTTACTTAGTGATCCAATCTGATAATATTTGTTTTTCAATAATGTCACGTGTATAATTCAAGGCCTGTGACTGATCCTGAGTAGGTATGATCGACACTGAATTATTATTAGATAATAATATGTCTTATATGACTTCTTATTTATGTGAATTCTTCCGGCTTGGGTGAGGCGAAAGAGAGTGACAGACCCTTATTGACTGCAAACCACCCCGTTCCTAGTTCCTACTCCTGTTTCGAGCTCCGCAGCCCCGGTAACATCCGTAAGGTCGTTCGCAGCCTCAGAAGTTTCATTTAGATAGAAATAGATTCAATGATTACTTACCAACCTCATGATTGAGCATTTGTTAATTATCCTATACTTTCAATCCCGTTTTCTGACGTTCCCGTAGGATTTTCAAGATTTGTTCTGTCCTAAGAACTATTGTCAGGAGAAGCCTGACAATAATAAACACAACAAAAAAAAAAATCAGCCATATAGGTCTAATAGAGTAGCAGTAGACGATTCCAAGTTCTCGCCAATAGCTAGGGCTTCTAATATCTAATAGGTAGGTACTTAATATTTTGTATAAGTGTATTTTTATTATTTGTTCTAATTATGTTATTAAGGAACAACATAATTAAGTAATTAGAATATACTAATTATTATATAAAATTACAAAACCTGACGTAACTGAAGATATGAAATCATTTGACGTATTAGGTAAGTACAGGTGAGGTAAGCAATGGAAAAAGGCATAAGTTTTAGTAGGTATCGCCGTAAGTATACAAGCTGTAGTTTTAAAGCCGTGTCATTTCTCGGGGGCATGTCACAGCTAAGTCATAAAGGTTCAATGTAAAAAAAAAAAATTCGGGCCAATAGGTAAAACTACGGCTATAACAAATCGTTTAAGTTCGACAGTATTTCAGAATAAGCGACAGCAATGTTTCTTGTTGGAGTTTATGGAATTAGAAATAATATCAATTACGTGTTTGAGTTTGTGTGTGTTAAGCCCTGTTATAAAGCTAGTTACAAGACGGCGGCATGTAGTTCGCACTTACGGATTTCCGTAATTTAGGTACAGAAAAATTAAAAATATTTACCTACAATTTTTTTGTTGATTCGGACTCAGAATCGATAACCCAGTTACCTCCTAGAAAATGACGCGGCTTTAAAACAACAACTTGTATATAATTCAATATTCATTAAGTAGCCTAATACTAGATAGTACCTAAGAATAGATTTCAAACTTATACATAATTAGAAGTTTATAGTTTCTAAGCCCAGATGTCTCCACAATGTTTTTTTTCTTCTATGGCAATTGCGTCTCCAGTAGTTGACTATTCTGCCAGCGCCATGTGTTACGGCAGGTGGATACAATACCGTCGAACTTTATTCACTTCGAGGTGTATCTGCAATGTTAGTAACTGGCAGACTGGACACAATGTGGTTGGTAACAACTAAACATAAATACATTATAGTAAATTACAGTTTATGTATTTGAATGAAAAAGGGACAAAACATAGCATTGACATTTAAAACGTTATTGTATTAGGCACTCTCATTATACATTGGATTTTAATATTATTTTTAGTAATGAATTTTGCCAAAAGGTTAATGAGTTTAGTGTAAAAATGGGTTAATAGTGAAGGAAAATTAATTGGGAGGGGGGCCTACAATATTGTCCTTCAACGTATGTCAGTGGTGACTTATTAATCTTATAAACGACATAAAACTCGGAAATGTCAAATTGGTACTTGCCAGGGTTTGAACCCGCACCCATGAGAGGCGGTCGTCTTAAACCTCCGGGCTACCACGACACCTGTGGATCTGGAAGCTGATTATAAAAATTTAACTAGTTACTCATAGCATCCTTCTACATTTTCACTCTCTTTAATTTTACTTTTGAGCGTTATAAGTATTTTTAAAATAAATAAACAAGATTGCAGTATTCTTATACCAACTATGGCAACTTCTTTTTAAAAAATACGGGGAATTCTCAACTAGTCTCACAAACATTTCTCTTAACTCAAAGATGCAAATGAGACATTGCATTTTTATTTTGGATTTTTATCGTGACAACACGGGACCATACGAACCTTGGCCTTCAAGTATTACCGTACCGTTGGTTACCGTAGTTCTTTCCCTTGTATTTTATATTTTCTGTAACTTTAATTTAAATGAATTCTTAGCTCAAATTGATTTGCATACGGTGGCAGTGTGTCCTGCGTGGGCTGCGACTTGGTTCAGCCCATGGTACGGAGCGAGGGGGACTGAGATACCGTCTCCTCCTGCTGCGAAGCAGTCATGCTAGTTAAGGAGGAGGCGGGGCGCGTGAGGGAACAAAACTCCTCACGCTCTAGTCATCGCAAGAGACACTCCGAGCGTCGGGGATCACGAGATGATCTCCGGCCACCGTAAGCACGGGCCTGCGGACGGCGAGCACGGGTGACTTGCCGTCCGACCAGAACCAGGCCCGAGCGTATAGCACGTCACGTTCCGCGCTCGCCTCAAGGAGCCATCAGACCACCACAGATGGGCTGATGCCGACACGGAGTCGCGGAGGGCTTAACGGGTTGCCGGAGCTCCGGTTCGAAGTGCAGAAGTAGGAACGGGGTGGTTTTTAGCCAGTAACAGTTTGACACTCCCCCTCACCTCACCCGGCCGGGAGAAGTAATGGGATAATTTTTCCCCATTAAAAAAAATTGATCTAGGTATCGCGCAGCCGTAGCGATTGTCTTCTCACATTGGGTAACCCAAGTTCAAGGGAAACCCCCTGATTTTATTATTTGATGGAAATTTTATTTACGATTTACAAATTAGAATCAGTGAATCAGATCAGTCAGTTAGTCATCACGTGCACTCATCGATAGAACATATAAAAGTTCGCGCGCTTGGGAGCGAGTTATACATGTACCTATATAACCCGATCGGTTTAAGTTTTATTGAGTTTTGTGAATTGTGACATCTACCACCATAATCGTACTTATAAAATATAAACAAAAATGTAAGTAATTGCACATGGATTTATGTAGTAGTAGTTCTGAAGTACCCTCCTACTTTGCTCTTATACACTATTTTTTTAAGGGGGGAAAATCATCGAATGACTTCTCCAGCCTCTGTGAGGCGGAAGGGAGTGTCAGACTCTTACTGACTAAAAACCACCCCGTTCCTACTCCTGCACTTCGAGCCGGAGCCCAGGTAAACCGTTAGGTTCTCCGCGGCTCTTCTATTCACTATAGAGTCAGTGTGTACCTATGTGAAAGTTTTTAGATCTACCTACCGACCTGTAGATTTATTTATGGTGCCTTCATGTACTAGGTACCTATATGTGTCTATATTATTCTAGCTTCCGCCCGAGACTTCGTATGTGTAATTGCGTTATATCCGTTCCCGTAGGATTATCGGAAAATCCTTAGATAATAAGTATTCTATGTCCGTCAACTGTCTCCCTACCAACTTCCAGCCAATTCCATTTAGCTGTTCTTTCTTGAGTAGTTGAGTTATAAAATTAAATAGTATAACTATGTAATACGACTTCCGATTTCTGGATTTCAAAATACCTAACACATCTTAATGTAGAAAATAATATACTAGACTACATTTTTTTTTTGATTATTCGAAACGTTGATACTGCTTACGTAATTAACCATTTCATAATTTTGGAAACAAGAGCCATGCAGAACTTTCACTCGCATGCCCGCGTAGCATGATGGGCAGTTTAAAATAAAATTTATTAGAGTCGCTTCCTACTTCCAACCGATCAATCAGGAAGTCTTTGGGTGAGGCATAATTCGTCATCTCCCACAGTGGATATTGTACCTACCTAGTCGGTCTGTCTCAAATCCAGCATTATTTTAGAAGCAGGTTTGGAGCTTACATCAAAATTCTATCATTGTAGAGTCACTAGCAGCCAAATATACATAATATTTATTGTTACAGGCATGGGTAATGATATCTCCATGACAGATCATTGAAACTGGCCGTTGTTAGTCTCATGATCACATAGATATGTAACCTAACATATTAGTGCATGATCATCTCTATTTTTTTTGTTCTAATATCTACTGTGTTCAAAAAATATCCGAACGCGATATGTGACTGTCAGATATGACAAATTGTCAATGTAACGTCAGCATGTCACTCCGTCGTGTCGTAGACGTCAAACTCGTCAAATAAACAAAAATATTGCACGTTCATTTCATTCGAGAAAAAATAAATTATAATTATTATATAGAATGTGTAATAAATTTAATAAAAAGCTATTTGAATTGTTTTTAGTAAAGCTGGTGTTGAAATAAAAATACCTAATTTCAATACTATTTAGTCCTACCTTTTTGTGAAAGTTAACCAACTTTTTGAGAACATTGATAAAAACATAAATAATTTATAACTATGTCGGATATTCTCAGGCCTCAGGTGAAATGGATAGAAGGCAGATGTTACAGAGTAAATGATCCCGCAGTCGATACAACTACTTTTCATGAACACGACTTGTATGAAAATGGTAATTTGTTTCACTTTCATCAAATAAAATAAACTTCATCTCTTAAGACTATAATTTTTTTTTAAATAATATTTGTGAGAAGTATAAAACTAATGTAATGTTTCCCTTAATAAAAATATTTGCTGACCTGGCTGAATTTTGTTATCCTGTATTAAATTGAATTAGGTAAATTAAGTTAGCAAAACAAGCAAAAATACTGTCTTTTGTTTTTCAGATATGACTTATAATGACACAATTGATGAAGATGAAGAAGAAGATGATTTTGAAGTTGTCAAGGTGGACAATTCACGATATAGTACTAAGTTCCACGTATCCAAGTATGAATGTCTACTTTTAAGTCTATTTTATGGTTGGTTTGAGAATTTATTTATTTGGAAGTACAAAAATTGAATTTAAAATTTCAGACATTACCTTGGATCAATAATTGGCAAAAAAGGTGCAATTAGGATGAGAATTGAAAGAGATACCAAGACAGATATCAAGATACCGAGACAAGGCCAGGATGGTGATGTAGCTATATTTGGACCCACGGCACAGGTAACAGGAAGTTTATATTAATAACTAGCTTCTGCCAGTAACTCCGTCTGCGTGCCTGTGGTTTAACAAGTGGCCTATGTGTACCTACATCTGTTCCAAATTTTATTTCAATCCCTTC